TTTTGAACACCATACACCGATCATTAAATAACGAATTGAACAAAGTTTGAGCCATATAAATTTAGTACATTTAACGGGCAACGAAGTACACGGGATCAGCTAGTTTAATATAAATTTAAAAAAAAAAATATTTTTAACAAAACATCATCAATGGGACGTAGATTTAGAAGATTAGAACTATGGCGATTCAAAATATCAAATGTTATTTGAGTGAACTGATAAATATAAATCATAATATATCTGATTAAGTGTGTTATTATTTCACTGATTGATTTAAATGTATTTACTATTTAATATTTGTATTTAATGATTATACTTTTTAATCTGTATATAATATGTAATAAATAATAATGTATATTTATATCATATAAGAATTTTTTTAAGCTACTGTTCAACTAATATTTACTTATAAACTATATGCAAATATTATATTACCTAATTAAAATAAAATATTTTACACAAGCCCGGTTCCCTAATTTTTGAGAGAAAAAGAACGGCTTATATATATGCATCAATATATTTATGAAACATTAAAATAAAAAGCATAACAACACAAAAGTTATAGATGAAAGTATTTAAAAAAATTTAAGAATAAATAAGTAGGTAACTACCTCACATCTGCCCATGACTTATCATTTTAGAATAACGACTAATAAATATATAACCATCGTATAGTAAGCATATATAGTTACACCTATATAAACTTAATCTTAGTATATTATTTATCATGCATATAATATATGTATGAGTGTACATCATTATAAACAAAAACAAATCAACATGTCTACAGGTTAGTATATAGGATATAGTTATAGTTAATAGACTTTAACGACTGGATCGTTTTACGACTAATGTTGTGCATATTGTATACTGCCCTTTTTATTTTTATTTTTCATTTTACGATATGCATTGAATTTTTGGAAATGTTTAATAATTGATAGCCGCATAGGATGTACGGTTGGATGATATCCGGCTGAAATTGTTTGATCCGACCACAGGCTGTCTCGGACATTGGAAAGCATTATTATTTTTGTATACGGTGAAATTAAAAGCAAAACACCAAGAAAATGTGAAAAATAACTCCCGCGGATCGATTATCGGATTTTTCATGGTAGCTAACACAATTTTAATATGGATGAAATTAATAAATTATATCTATCGGAAACTATAACTATTTAAATGGATTAAATTCCCGGAAAGTACTAACAAGTAGCATTAATAATGTCTACGATTTAAAAATTCACTTGTATACTATTGTACCTAAAGTTGACATTTGCACACCCTCGATACAAAATTATAACTATTAAATTATATAAAAATAAAACATTTTTTAACTATTGAATTATAACATGTATACTCTTGAATTAGTTATTTGAATGTCCGCATTATTAAATSATATTGGCGTAAGCATAATAAAAGGGAAAATAGTTTCCATATATGAATTAGGTATATTACTACTATATTATAGTATTATACTACATATGGACCTAATAAGTAATAATAACATGTATATGTATTGTTATAAATAATCCTCGAGTTATTTTTTTACAGAAAAAAATAGCGGGGTTATAAAATATAAATGAATAAATATTTGATAATACACAATGAATACTAATAAGATTAAAATAAAAATTATACATACTTAGCACATACTTAAAATATTATTTAAATTAAAATTAAAATAATTAAATGTATTAGTTATTATTTTTTTACCTCAGAAATCAATAATATTTTTTTATTTTTTTATTTAATAATAAATGTTAAGAAAAAATCAATATTTTTGACGAAGAATATACACTCAAGTTTATTATAACTTATAAAATATTCTTTTTTAGTGTTCACCACGCTAGTTACTTACATTGTTTATATTTCAATTAACAGTAAACTAAAAAATGATTTTACGTGGATATAAATATTATATTTAATCTTAAATAATAAAAATAAAGTCTGGAAATTAATAAATATCCACACAATCTTGTAGCATCACGTTATTATAATAATGATTAAGAAATAAATATGTTGACAAAGTAGAATGAACTTTTATATCATCATAATTTATAATACTGCCTATATGATCATTATAAAAATCATTTAGTTAGTGTAAATATTCTGATTTTATATACATAATATAATAAATAAGTCAAAAACTTTATTTCATGCAGTTTCTATTTATAACTTTACGATAATGTTATTATTGTTGTTTGAAACAACGATTCGTCTTCAGTCTTGTACTCTTGTGTAATACTAACACAGGGAGGAAATTTAATGAGGACACCTAGGTATAGAAAATACGTCGTTTGATCTTTCTTATCGTCTATACATTCACTCAACTAAAAAAATTATTTCTTGAATTTTAACTACGTCTTTTATAAACGAAACAAAAAATTCTTTATTTTTATCATGTTATACATCTTATGGTTTTTAATCTTCAAATTCATCACAAAACCAGAATCCGAAAATCTATGATAAAAATGTTGTGTTATTCAAATATTTTGAAAGATGCTCAACATACTCATAATACTTTCATATTTTAAAAACAATCTTAAAACTAATGTAATATGTTTTTATTATATTAAGTAAAATTCACAAAAACTGAAATTTTTTTAATGTAGGTATACAAACAGAATATAAGTATATTGAATATAAATGAAAAAAATCGGAATTCACAAATGAAAGGATTTATGACTTTAAAAAAAAAAAAAAAAAATGTTTTTAAAAATAATATTATTATATTTATAACGTTGTATTTAATACATAGGTATTCATACTAATTATTAGCACTTTTTATATTTCTAGTGATGAATAATTGTCTTCTTTTTTTTCTCTTATAGTACCGAGAAACGAAGAAGGAACTCTATTGCCAATACTCCAGCTCCCAGATTTTTTTTTTAAGATCATTGATATTAAATTACGAATATACTATTGAGTTACAACTTTGGCTTCAAAGTTACGATTAAACAATTTAAGCGTAAAGCCTAATAATAAATATTATATGGTATTATCGTATCATATGATATAGGGATCAGCAACAGATTTTAATTTTTCATCAATTTTTTATTAAATATTGTCAAATAAAATAATTGTAGATATATAATAATGTAAACTCACCACAAAGCTCATGATTTGCTGAAGTTTTGTCACGTTCACAATCATCGCGTCGCGTGCACACCACACTGGGTACCTATACTTTTCAAAATATAATGCTTGACCTTTGTTACAAACACTTGCAGTGTAATCAACGGGTAAATACTCGTGTATTAAACCTTAGTAAATATGTTTATTAAGATTAGTTTTATAATAAGGAATACGGATTAACGAACAAATACAAATTATTATAACAGTCGAACCGAAAAAAAACTAAGCTGACTTATAATAATACTTATAAATTTATGTAAACTGATCGACAGAGTCCAGAATTCAACAGCGGTCATGGTTGGGCAGCGGACCCGCCAAGTGCGTGAATGGACATATCGTGGACCGCGGAAACTGCATCAAGTAACAACTGCGGCGTCGTTGGTGATGGTGGTGGTGGTGGTGATGGTGTTGGTGGTGGTGGAGCAAGGTACTTCGCATCTTTTGCCAACATTCCAATTTACAGTAAAGATATATAGATATAAATTAGCCCACTTTTAAAGGAATTGTTCATTTCATAAGTAAATGTATGTGACCACTGATACATATTATGAAATGTGTGTATGCGTGTGTGTGAGTTCACGTATTTTATTACAATATTCAACAGAGGATTTTAAGCCTGGGAAATTACGGTGTGGCAGGCTCACCCAATACATTATAACAATTAATAATAGTTTTCCATAAAAAAATTTTTTTAGGAATCTCCTTATTTATAATTTAATATAATAAAAGTTTATTATATGAGTACGAAACTTATTTGTATAACCACCCAAATTATCAACAAGATTCACTGTCTCGCCAGAAAAGATGATGAAATAGAAAATTGAAGCATTTTTACTGCCTCAAAAAGTGATGAGTCCTAATATTTTTTTTTGAAACACGCCACTATAAAATCAATACATTCATCGCTTCGCTCAGAGTATAAAATATTAAAACATACATATTTTATAAAAATGTTGATGGATAAATCAACTCATGTAGTCATGTGTACTACTTTTATAGCAGCTAGTACAACAAAAATAACACCCAAAATCGTGATACGAATTTACGGCAGTAAACAACACAGTAAAATATTATCAAATAATTTGTAATCCAAGTATACAACGGCCCAGCGTTTTAATATGAGGATCGGCCCACTGAAAACTTTCCTAGTATCTTGGCGACCGACCCACCGCTGATACTATTATACAAATAATACATTAATGTTTGATTCAATTCAAATTATTATTTGTGTATGCAAACATTTAGTGATATAAAAGTCATTCAAGCGCGTGATAATTAATTATTAGGTATATTATTATTATTTATTGCTGTTGAATGAATATCTGACTGATGAGAATATTGCATGAGAGGAAATACTCTTTAATTTTTTAGTATTCAATAACGTCGTTCTTTAGTTGGCGTTAGAATAATATTACAACAAATATACGATACAATAATAATACCAACACCACGCGTGCTCGCTCTCGCACTACACGGTCGAACTCATAAATGTATAAGATACCATTAAGATTTTACATGACTATACCTACAAACTTTGTTTAGTTAAATATTTAAAACATGTCTTTGGTAGTTTTTACGAAAAGTGATCTTCCCCACACTTAACTCAACGTGCAGCATTTACAGAAGTTTGGAGTATGCTCAAGAATTAAAATTTTATTTTAGTTATTAAATAATGATAACAGTTATATTATAAGTCAGTTACCTAATCGTAATATTTTAATATACCTGTAACCATCAATTATAATATATATATATTTTTTTATAAAACTTCACAATATTTCAATACTATAGTATACCAATTTGAGTTAACTTAGTGGATTTTGTTAATTTTTTGTGATAAGAAATCTTCAAGTTTTCACCCTATAGAGTATAGACTATAGTTGGATTGACTTATAAAGTATTCCTTACCAGATTTAAAAATCCATGATTTCGGTCCAATAAAAGTCATCATCTGAATCTCAGTACATCATTAGTCAACTGTCAAACTGTACCTATAGTAATTTATTAACAATTTCATTACCTACATAGTACATACAATTAGAAAACAGAATAAAAAGAAAATTATTTTCCTTCAATAACTCTTAATGAACAGTATTATTCAATAACCATTGAACTTATTAAATATTTGTATATGATAATTAATTACGAATATATAAAATAGGTTATAACTTGTCTTATAACAGAGTTTACTCAGTTTACTCAGTTTACTAATCTGTGGATATAAAAATCAAAATAATAAACGTTATAATGTAAAAATCTAGTGTATAGTGCACTCGTATATCTTCAACGTCTATCAATTATTCAACTGTAGATACTATAACACCTCTGGGAATAGATTTTTATAGTTTAACTCTGAGTTCCAAATTTAATTTTAAAATAATTATGTTTGAATAATTTGCTGAATTTATTCTTATAATAATAACCTCTGCATGTCGTCCCCTTAAATGCTGAAGCTTGAGAGGAAAATAAAGACAATTTATTAACGTAACGTTATTATAGATGCTTGCCGACACACGGTGAATATTATATTTGAATGTAGAATGTATATTTAAACATAGCTGCATACAGAATCTTGACTATTCAAACACAAGTATATTGTTATAAGTTGATGATAAACAGTAAGGAATATAGATATTGAGGAAATTATAAACGGTACTGCTCCAGTCTGCTGCTTCCGGATGAAAAAAAATATTCATAGCGTAATAAGCAGAAATAAAAATAAAAATTTCTTTAACTGTTGCATATATGTATATGTTACTCATACACCTATAAACAAGCAATGGCTGTTGTGGGGTACGTGAATTAAGATAATAACCGCAAAAAATGTCGGTTTGTTTCTTTTCAGCAAATATAACCGTATATGGTGTACTTATTATATGTCTATATATTAATATTTGTATAACTTACGTCTTACTATAATATGATATATCAAACACGATTTTCGTTAGTGACATACATGGTAGGATATCTGAAAAACAAACGATTTAAAGACATTCGGCCAGCATAGGGATAAACTTAGGTAGGTGTATCGTGTATGTATATTGCATCACCATCACGAGAAACTAAAGAAAATACGCTACGTCATTGTCACTATGCATGATTTGCTAACATATAATATATTATATTTATATATAGTAGTTATACATAGKCACAACTAGACTAATATTTTTGGGGTGTACAAAATATACATATATATTATCTAACAATTATTTAAATTAATTTATTTCAATTACTGCCAGTTCATACTTGATTATGACGTGGTTCAACTCTCAATTCTCATCTCTCATTCTCTAAATTAGATACCCAAGTCCCAGATCAATAAATAATACCATTACAATTATTTTTATTCAGTTAAGGATTTTTTAACACTAGTTGATTTTAACTAGAAGACCTATTATATCATTAATTTCTTGATAAGTATTTTTTAAATAATACTTATATAAGTACTATAAGTCTTATTATTTGTTTTATATTATTAACTATTAATTATTATATAATACCATTCGTAATAAGTAATAACTAATGAGTAATAACATAAATATCAAAATATTAAATGTTTATAAAAAAAACCATAAGAATTTTTTTCAACAACACAATAATTTAATTGTTATAACTTGTCATAAAAAATTATAAGCAAAGAAACAATGTGAACACGCTATTGCTATTCATAGGACATCCTGCATCTTGCCATACATAAAGAAAAGAATCGTTATGCACAAACAATGTTCAAAGTTAAATTATAATACCATTATGAATTATTATGATTATTATTGTAATATTGTTACACGAATTAGTTATAACTACGTATCTGTGACCTGTTCTATACATCATTAAATAAAATTATTTTTTTCTCATAATAGGTAACAGATATCATGTTATAGACATAATATCGAAATAACTACCTGTTTTATTCCTCAATAAACAATATAGGTATAGTACAACACTTTTGTATTTATTGATCATTTTTACTTTAAAATGATCACTATATTATGATAAAAAATCTTTTATTTTTAGAAGTTCACTCGTGGGACTTTTCGTGCCAATGGCATAAAGTAAACTGTATGGTTTATCAAGCGCGAATCCAGAATAAATTTACGGCGAGTGCCATAAAATAATAACAATAGATATTATCAGGGTTTACTATGTTAAAATTTTATGGCATCAGGAAATAGGAACCAGGATAAAACATTATAATAAATATAATCTAATATAGATATATGTAATAAGAATAATCTAATGTTAAATATTATATTATTTGTTTTATAAAACCTTTGTTTGTATACTTATATTTTTCACCAACCTTTTTTTTTAGATTTGAGGGGAGGGAGGGATCTCTCTCAAGGCCCCATGCTTCGTGATACCTAAGTAAAGTAAACATGTCAGCCAGCGTGATAAGTGATAACAGCAATACAGCATAACATAATAATTTGCTGTACTAGCCACTAGGAAATAGGAATGTAGTATAGCTGTCACGTACTAGTGTATAGAAGTGTGCAATAAACAATACTTAGATGTATCTAGTGTAGGTATATTACACTACACAGTAATAGATACATAAGATACAACTCTAACGTCCGATTCTCAGAAATGGTGAAAATAATATAATATAATTCTGATAATACGCAACAACAATAATAACGAAGAATAATAGGGATCTACGACGTTTGCCGGCCACAGCGACGTCGTGATTTATTATTTCGCTGTAAACGAAACGGAACCAATCGGTAATGTGACCAACGCGGCGCGCAGACTGCATCATAGACGTCATATTATAATATTGGCCAGTTTAAATTGTTGAAATTTATTGTCCTACGTCACTGCCGCCCCGGTGACCACCAAAATATTAGACATTTTATTTTCTGTTACTGTTACTGAATACATATAGTAGCGTATCCAGAGGGGTTTGGAAGATTAACCCGCACCTACCATAGACATTTTCCTTCTACTAATAAATGTATTATAATGTATATTATTCGTATATACCTACGAAAGCTGTAAAAACTTGTCTTAATCCCCCTATTTCATAAGCCTGGTTATGCTGCTGGCTGAATGTTTATCGTAAATTCGTATAAAACATTCAAGAATCAAAAATACATAGACGGTRAGTCAGGCGCGGATTCAGAGGGGGGTTATGGGTGCTCAGGCACCCCCTGTCATCTAGACACCAACAAAATAAATTTATATTATAAATTATATAATTTGTTATTTTTCAAAATAAAATTAATAATAATAATTTCGGTGCTTTTTGTTATCGCCGTCACTACGACAATAATAACTATTATTGTTAATTGTTTTCGAAGTATACTCGTGTGTATAA